TTAGGTAAGATGAAAAGAAACAGATGGTAAGAAGTATGAAAGGGAAGAAAGTTAGGCAAACTCAGCACTAGTTAGAGTTCAGTGGATGGTCACTTTCTCCAGGGGGAAAGGGTCAGGCTTGAGGTCTTCCCTCTAACCCTGGAATATGTTTGCATCCTCAGTCCTTTGAGCGGTCCTAGCTTTCCGCCCTGAACTTGAATTTACTTTGCAGCTCAGGTAATATCATGTCAAACTGACTTTGTCTTGCTCCTTATGTCTTGCTCCTCTCTTTCCTTTCTTGGTGCTGTATTTTCCTTTCATTTTATTTCACATGACTAGTAATCATGGGAACTGTTATTCCTGGTCTGTTCTGTGCCCTTAGGTTTTAGGCTCTCTTGTTTTTTGATTTTGTGTTGTTGTTTTTGGGTTCCACCCACTGTTGCTGGGGGCTACTCTCAGCTTTTTGGACCAGGTGAAGCAGAGCTCTGCTTTCTTGGTCTGCCCTCCTGCTTCTCCTGTGCCCCGGGCAACTGGTGCACCTCCTGATGAGCATTGTGTGGGATGTTGCCTTGGTGTTGGATTACTACTGATTTAATTGAACCAGGAAACAAATGGAAATACTTTTCTTTCCCTTTCTGCTCTAAGTTAAATGTTTCTCAGGAGATGAATGGGTGTTTTCTTTTCCTTGAACTAGCTATCCATATATTATTCCCATGTCATTGAAAATGTTTTAAAATTATTTATCTTTGTTTTGGGGCCAAACCTCATGGCAGTGTTCAGGGCTTATTCCTAGCTCTGCCTTCAGGGATCATTTCAGGAGGGGCTCTGTGATCATATGTGATGCTGACTATTGGACTCAGGTTGAGCATGTGGAAGGCAAGCTCCTTACCTACCTGCTGTACTATCCCTCCAGTGGCCCTGGTCGTTAAAATCTTTGATTAGAAGAGGAACCCTTTGGTATCATGGTTTGTTTTTTTGTTTTGTTTTTGCTTAGCTTTATTTATTTGGCATAACTGATCATTTATTTTGTTCCTTATTTCTTATTTAGATACTATGATTTATAATTACAACTGGCCTTTTAGGGTAAATGATATTTTCTATTTAAAGGAATTAAAAGCCAACAGAGAGTTAGAAGATAGGAAATTTTGATAGTGAGAGGGTGCAGAGTGGCTTATGTGTTCCCTAGATTGTGACCCTTGCTAAGTTCTTGGAGGCAGATAGAGGAGGCTGAGCATGAACTAAGGGGGAACAGAGAATTAGCTCGTACTGTGACTGGAATGAACTTGTATAAGGGACAGTGGTTGGACTTGAGGCAGGGCCAGGGAAAAGAAACAGGGAAAACCCTCTTGGGTGAGTCATTGAAAGTCACATTTCCCAGGCCAGAGATTTTGAGTGGGGTTTGGCCCATGTCCAGGCTGAGGCTGTGCCCTGTGATTCATGTCAGACTCATGTCCGGCCCTTGAGTTCCGCTATGTGATTTCTCTTGAAGAATTCCACTCTAGTTATGAGGAATGTGGCTTATGTGAGAGACTTGGCCATTTAAAAAGTATATATATAAACAAATATAAAAGTATATATATAAACAAATATAAAAAATATAAAATTTACTCAAAAATATAAACAGCTATTATTTTCCCCAGAGATTATGAGGATATATCTTTTCTTTCTTTCACTTCATTTCCCCTCAGATTCAGGGGCAAGATAATCTCTTTTTCTGTGTGTATGTGTTGGGAGGGGGGTTGGACGTCAACACCCAGTGGTGATCAGTGCTTATTTCTGAGTCTGCACTCAGGACTCACTTCTGGCATGGCTCTGGAGACCATATGTGTTGCCAGGACTTGAACCTGGGTTGACCTGATACAAGGCAAGTTCCCTGCCCACTGTACTATCTCTCCAACCCCAGATATCTCTTCTCTTGAGGCACCTTCCTTCTGTCTCTGCTCATAACCTATCCTCTGGGGTTAAGGTATCTTCTGGCAGCCTCGTCACTGCTTATTAACTAACCGGATAAAATTTTTTATTTAAAAAAATCGGGGTGAGGTGTTGGGCCACACCTTGGTGGTTCTCAGGGCTTGCTCCTGGCTCTGTGTTCAGGAATCACTCTTAGAGGGGTCCAGGGGACCTTGTGGGGTGTCGTAGATGAAACCCAGTTCAGCCTCATGCAAAATAAGCACCTTATTTGACTGCGGTACTGTCACTTCGGCCCCCTGAATAAAAATTTTAAAATTGGGATCTCAACGACTATGCAGTTCTGTATATGTGCTTTGCTCATGGCCAGACCTGGCAGAGCTACCATTCAGATGGTAGATATCTTTTCCTTCTCTTGTAATTATTTGCTTTCCCCTTACGGCTGTAGGTGATAGCACACAGCCCCAGTCATCCCCTCTACCCCACTACTTCTCACAGGCCTGTCTCCCGTCTAGTTTGGCTGTTGGCTTAATACTTAGGTATCACTCCTGGTGGTCTCAGGACCATATGTGGTGCCAGGGATGGAACCCAGGTCTGTAGCATGCAGGGAAAGTGCCCTACCCATTGTACTTCCCTCCCATCCTGATTCACTTTCGTGGGGGGAGAGGGAGAGGGTTTGGGCCGCACGCAGTGTTTTTCAGGACTTACTCCTGGCTCTGTGCTCGGGGGAATCACTCCTGGCAGTGCTCAGGGGACCGTATGTGGTCCCAGGTGTTGCACCAAATGCAAGGCGTGAGCTCAGCTTCTTGTCTTCCCTCTCAGGTCCATGATGTACTCTTAATTGTTTGACACATTCTTTAAATGTTTCACTCTCACCCAAGAGAAAGAATTTTCCCAGCCCATGCCATTTTTGAAGGACTGTTACTGATCATTCTGCATATGTAATACTTTTAAGAAAAGAATGTCCAACTAGGGGCTGGAGAGACAGTACAGCAAGTAGGGCTTGCCTCCCATGTTGCCAACTGAGGTTAGACTCCTGCCACCATCAAACCTCACTAGGAGTAATTTCTGTGTGCAGAGCCAGGGATAACCCCTGACCATGACCAGGTATGGCCCAAAACAAAAACAAAACAAAACAAAAAAAAATATTTAAAAAAAATGTCTAACTATACAAAACTGCAAGTACCCAATCAGTGTACTCCACATGGTTCAAGCTTTAGAATGAATGAAAGAGAATTTGTTGCTCTGATTCATCTGAACTTTTGATCTTTTTTTTGTTTTTCGTTTTTTTGAATTTGGGCCACTCCAAGCAGTGCTCAGGGTTTATTTCTGGCTCTGTGTTCAGGGATTACTCTTGGCAGTCTCTGGGGACCAAAGTGGTAAGTCCCCTGGAAGGCAAGTAACCTACCCATTCTACTTTTGGTTGGGCCCATTTGTGGTGGCATTTTTTTGTGGGGGGGGACAGGAAGGGGACTTGGATCGGGACAAATCTGGCAGTGCTTAGGGGTTACTCCTGGCTCTGCACTCAAGAATAACGCATGGCAGTACCATGGAGACCTTATGGGATGCTGGGGATTGAACCTTTGTTGGCTTTGTGAAAGCAAGTTCCTTGACCACTGTACTATCTTACTGTCATCGCCCTCCCCCCTCCTGCCCCTGACACACACCCAATTAAATGCGAAAATGGAGGCTAAGCTGGGTATTCTGATTTCTCTTTATAAACTCAGAGATTCACAGGTTAAGGTTTCAGTCTTGTAAGACTGCCTACCCTTCCCTCAACATATACACTCCTGATGGCAGTCCAGGATGTCACCTGTTTCTCTGATAGACCATCTGTAGTATGAAGGACTCAGTAACTCCTCCAAGGGGTGACACATTTGTTTTTTGGCTCACAGAATTCAGAAAATTTTGTTTTCTGAATTTTTGTTCATATTTTGTTTTGGGGCCACACCTGGTGGTGCTCAGGAGCTACTTCTGGCTTGGTATTCAGGGGTCACTCCCAGTGTAGCTTGAGTGACCATTTGGTACTAGGGGGTTGAACTTGATATCCCCACATCCAAAGGCTATGTTTAGTCCTTTGAGCTATTTTGCCAGCCCTACATTTACTGTCTAGATTACTGGTTCAGAGTAGAGTAGAGTATTAGTCGAGTGAAAGACTTGCATAGTCTCCCAAAGGCATCATTTCAGTGTATAAGAAGTAAAATAACGAGGGGGGGGGGGCGGAGAGATAGTACAGCAGGTAGGGTGTTTACCTAGCATGTGACTGACCCGGGTTCAATCTCTGGCATCCCATATGGCCCCCTGAGCACTACTGCTGGGTGTGACCCAAAAAGCAGAAGGAAGGAAGGAAGGAAGAGAAAGAAAGAAAAAAAGAAAAATAATGTATGATGAGAACCTTGGAGAGTATGTTACCTATCATCCATTTATAAAGTTCCAAGTTAAAATATATTTGTATTTTTCTCTCACAATGAGCTACTGAGTATCTTCTCAGACTTAGTCACTTAATCTTAAAATTCCTAATTAGGGCAGGAGAGATGGCTCAGTGGGCTGAGTGCATGGTTTGCATACAGGGTACATGGTCCCCTGAGCACTGCTGGGAGTGACCCTGAGCACAGAACTACCCCATGAGCACTTATTTGTATGTCTCCAAAAACAGAACAAGCTGACAAAAATTTCTTTGTAAATATGAAGAAATGGGACTGGACTCAAAGTTACTGATCACAGCATTGCTTTTGGTGTGAGCCTTAGGGTAGACCTCAGGTTTTCTTCCAGGTACAGTGAGTTCCTAGGTCAAAGTGCTGAGAGGTTTAATGGAAAGGGAACCTGTGGGGAGGATCCCGTCATAAACAAACTTTGTGAGGGACTGGGGGACCTTTATCATAGAGAAGTTGCCCTTGGGAAGAGGCTGTGGGTGCCTTCCTTCCCATAGACATATAAGTGGCCCAGGACAGGTCCTGCACCATAGTAGTCCTGCTGGTCCACACCATATACGGTCCAGTTGCCTTTATCAAAGGGGTTACCTATCTTATCAAATCGCAGGTTTATTTGAAGTGTGGCTGTTGATCTCATTTTCTGTGTGTCAATCTGTGATTAATGTTGCTGTGTCTTTCCAGGGTCTCAGAGGCACTGTTACAGACTTCCCGGGATTTGATGAGCGTGCTGATGCTGAAACTCTTCGGAAGGCCATGAAAGGCTTAGGTAACTTTAGCTTCCTTGTTCTAAAAATGGTGACATTTGTTTTTCCAAAGAGTTACTGATTCATAGGAGGAGAAGAGAGATGATAAGGTAAAGATCTATAATGCTGTTACACTTGAGTTATTAGCCTCACTTGCCTAGTAAAAATTCTGGGAGCAGCAGGTAACAGTTCCTGAAAGTGACTGGTAACAGTTCTTGGCTCTAGGCATTTTGTCCCCTGCACCAGTCACATAATGGTTCAGCAAGTCTCTTTGGTTCCAGTCCCCCAGTTCCAGTCTTCTAGATGTTATAAAGCCTTTCTCTGAGAATGTCCCCACATCTAATGGACCCCACATGTTGTGATTCCTCCCTACGACTTAGACCCTGACACCTTGCTCTCCTTTCTGAATGTCTTGTGTGTTTCCTGTCATAGCAGGAGCAGGGGCAAACTTCTAGCCCAGGCATCCTGGGTCTCTTCTATTTCTGAGCGCCCTGTGATCTCCTGCAGGGAGGCTTGCCTGCATGCCATACACAGTGGTTAGAGCCCTCAGAACTGCTTTGGGGATGCCTTTCTCCATCTTTTTTCCCCAGAAGTACCTTCTGCGCCCTATCAGTTAGGACCTTCCTTGAATTCCATTTAACACTGGGATCTATCCTGAGACTCTTGTTACACTGTCTTAGCCCATGACTTTTTGTATTTTTACTCAAGGATGTCTGTACTTTGAAATGCTTGTCCCCAGTAAGACTACATTTTGCACTGTAACATTATTTCAAGAAAATAGGTGCACTCTGCCTGTTAAAGTAAGGCATGTTCTCTGACTCGCTTCTTTCAGTCCATCCCAAATGGGAGTCATGTCTACTGTAGCGACAGCATTTCAGAGTTTAATGAATTGTTCAGTAAGGCATATTTTGTGAGGTAAGGATTTAAAGTGATGGGGAGCTTCTTACAAAGACCATTGAGAGGGTAGATGTCTGGGCAGAGGCCATGGTCTCAATGTTGGTTGCAGGTACTGATGAGGAGAGCATCCTGACTCTGCTGACATCCCGAAGCAATGCCCAGCGCCAGGAAATTGCAGTGGCATTTAAAACTCTGTTTGGCCGGGTAAGACCATGTTCACCACAGGTTCAATGTGAAAGCAGCTATATGCTTTAAGGAGATTTTGTAATCCGCTAATATTTTTTATTTTATTTTATTTTTTTGTTCTTTGGGTCACACCTGGCAATGCTCAGGGGCTACTCTTGGCTGTGCACTCAGGAATTGCCCCTGGCAATGCTTGGGGGACCATATGGGATGCCAGTGTCAAACCTAGGTTGGCCGCGTGGAAGGCAAACACCCTTCCCTCTGGACTGTTGCTCTGCCCCCCCCACCATCGGCTAATATTTTTGTAAGCATCTTTTCCTATAAGGTGCTCCTGTGATTCTAACTGTCCATCTCCACCTTTCCCTACTCCAGTTCCCTCTACATTCAGAGCTTTTGGTGTACAGTGTTCATCACCTTTCCTCCATGCTGGGTGCTTGCAGAGGTGTGCGCTGACCCTGTGGTGACAGCTGCTCCTCTTCTGTGCCTCCCACTCAGGGTTATTTACTCTTCTGCTCTTAAGCTTAGGCTTTCTGTCAGATGAGTCAAATACATTATATGAGCAAGCGGATTTTGGTTAGCTCATGTGCCACACTTGGTGACAGTAACATATTGTTGATTGTAGCAAAGGGGTATCATCATGTTTAAGCACAGTTTCTTAGAATGTCTGCCTTATCTGACATTTGTATTTTCTGATTTAGGACCTTCTAGATGACCTGAAATCAGAATTAACTGGAAAATTTGAAAAATTGATTGTGGCTCTGATGAAACCATCTCAGCTGTATGATGCCTATGAGCTGAAGCATGCTCTAAAGGTAAAGGCTGTGGGGACTTTGCCACCTTGAGTCTAGCAGGTTGGATTTATGATGACTTCATCTTAGCTCTTTGTTGAAAGTATGAGATGGTCAGAAAGATGGCTGAGAGAGCTTGAGTGAATACTGTTCAGGCAGGAGGCCTCGGCTTGATCCCTGCACCCTGTGTTCCCTCCAGTACCCAAAAACCTCCAGGAATGACTTCCTAGCACTGAGCTGGGAGCGAACTCTAGCTTCATACACTGCAATTCCCAAACAGTATATTTATGTGAGGTCTGGGGTCTGGAGATGTGGCTCAGTGATTGTGATTGAGTGCAGGTTTCTTGTGTTGAGGTTCTGAGATCAGACGTGTGTGTGTGTGTGTGTGTGTGTGTGTGTTATTTCAGTGAGTGCTTTTTAATGAACAAAACTGTAGAAGGGAGGCGATAAGGAGAAAATGGTTTGTCATTTAATCTTTTTTGTGCAGTCAGGTCATTAATAGAGCTGTTTGTGTATACTTAGGGAACAGTGAGTAATTCACTTGATAGCGGTTAGATTTTGAGTGAATAAACAGATCTAACAACAAGGAGATAATATAGCTTCCAGATTCTCGCTAACAATGTGTGTTTTTATTTCTACTTTTGCTGCATAATTTCTCTGAGGTCCATAGAGAATTCATTTTGGGAACAAGGGTTTGCACTTTTAATAACAAATTATTTAAGTATCATTGTTTTTCTATGTAGAGGTGTATAAAGTTTCAAATTTTTATTTAGACTTTTTAATTATTTCATTAAAATGTTTTAAGCTGTCTATAATTAAGCGAACAGATGACACATATCATATGTATACACACATAATTCAATAGACTTATTACACAAAAGGATAAAATTGTCCTCGAGACAATATTTATTATTTCTGTAATATATATTGCATAGAAAGTTGTGAATGTTTAAAAAAAGTTGTGAATGTTATGTTAGGGAGTGATTATATAATCATTCAGTTTTGGTAAGTTCTGATCCAGGAAAATAACTTAATGTTATCGACATGCAACATGTTTTCTCTATAAAAAAATGAATCTCCAAACAGGGAGCTGGGACAGATGAGAAAGTCCTGACGGAAATCATTGCCTCGAGGACCCCTGCAGAACTGACAGCCATAAAGCAAGTCTATGAAGAAGGCGAGTATTACGACTGTTTCCCTTCATCCCTAAGGATGCTCTCTCCTCATAAGGATTGTAGCTACTCAGAGCCACAGGTGACAGGCCCCTCAGGTTGCTGGGTGTGAATGTATGAATGAATACACTGTTTATTGACCATGTTTGTTTCCTCATTAGGAAGGACTGTCTTTTTCTGGATCTATAACTTTCTTTTTAAGAAAATTATTATTACTACTGTTTTATTGAATCACCATGAGATATGGGCTGGAGCAATAGCACAGCAGGTAGGGCCTTGCACGTGGTCAACCAGGGTTCGATGCCTCCGTCCCTCTCACCCAGCAAGCTACTGAGAGTATCCCACCCGCAAGGCAGAGCCTGGCAAGCTCCGATATGCCAAAAACAGTAACAACAAGTCTTACAATGGAGACATTACTGTTGCCTGCTCAAGCAAATCATGAACAATGGGAGGACAGTGCTACAGACAGTGCTACCATGAGATATACAGTTACAAAGCTGTTCATGATCAGGTTTCAGTCATACAATGTCCCAACACCCATCCCTCCATCAGTGTACATTTTGCACCACCAGTGTCCCCAGTTTCCCTCCCACCACCCCTCTTCGCCCACCTTCCAGCCTGTCTCTATGCAGGTACTTTCCTTTTCTCTGTCTGTCTCTGTCTCTCTCTGTGTCGCTCTCTCCTCACCCCCCTCCCCTTTTGGGCATTATGGTTTGCAATATAGATACTGAGAGGTTATCGTGTTTGTACCTTTACCTACTTTCAGCACGCAATTCTTATCTGGAGCAATCATTTCCAACTATCTTTGTCATAATGGTCCCTTCTCTATGCCAATTGCCTTCTCCCCCAGCACTTGAAGAGGCTTCCAACCATGAGGACCTATTTCAGTGTTTATAAAAAGTTTCCTGTGGAGTTTTCTTTGCATAGGATTTGTGACTACAAGTATGTAAGGATATGCTTACAGGTTCTCTTTGATTTTAAATTTTAAGTGTGCAAGTAATTTTTATTCCTTAAAGATTATGTATAGGGGCTGGAGAGATAGTACACTGGATAAGGCAATTGCCTTGCATATGGTCAACCCAGATTTGATCATCAGCATCTTATATGGTTCCCTGAGCACCACCAGGAATTATTCCTGAGTGCAGAGCCAGGAGTAACCCCTGAACATCACCTGAATGTGGCCCCAAAATAAACAGTTACTTTATCTTAGTAGAAGCTGTGATAATCTAAAAGGTCTTTTCAATATGGGTTTGATCACTGGCATCCCTTATGGTCCCTTCAGCCCAAACAGGATAAGCCCTGAGCACAGCCAGGTGGTGTGACCAACCCCTTGCTCCCCCACCCCCCACCCCATAGCATTGAAAGGAGAGAGATCTTCATGGCTCTGAAAGTTGAGAGAAACTTAGTGATGCCATTAATTACTGAACAGATTTCAGGAGTGGTGGACTTGGTTGCTGATGAAGGCTATTTTGGCATGTGGTATTTTGGTCTTTGTGCAGTGGCGTGGAGACTGGACCACGAAGAGCAATTTTTTTTTTTATGTAGGAGTATTGCTATTTATTCAGCCACTGATTAGGCTGATTGAATTGTGCATGAACTCCGCACGAAGAGTATATTGAGGGGATAGAAAGAATATGATGGAAGATGTATGCATGGTCATTGTAGGAGAGAAACAGAATAGGCACAATTTTTAAGTTATAGATGTTTTTGTGGGCTGGAGCTATAACAAGTGGGTAAGGCATTTGCCTTGCATGCTGCCGACCCGAGTTCAATTCCTCCGCCCCTCTTGGAGAGCCCAGCAAGCTACCAAGAGTATCTCGCCTGCACGGCAAAGCCTGGCAAGCTTCCCATGACGTATTCGATATGCCAAAAATAGTAACAGCAAGTTTCACAGTTTGTTGTGAGATATTACTGGTACCCACTCGAGCAAATCGAACAACGAGAGGACAGTGCTACAGTGCAGATGTTTTTGTAGAACTGGATTAAAAGTTTGAACGTAATGAAGGGAATGGTAAGTTCCTGAATGGGCAGTGGAGATAGAAGAGCCAGTTGAGGGAGGAGGGAGACATAAGTTAAATATGGGTCAGGTGGGTCTGGAGAGATAGAGCAGGATTAAAGCACTTGTCATGCATGTGACTGAGCACAGTTCAATCCCTGGCACTGCATGTGATTTCCTGAGCACCACCAGGAGTGACCTCTGAGCACAGAACCAGGAGTAAGCCCAGAGCACCACGAGGTGTACCCCCGCCATTCCCTTCAAAAGAGAGAAAGCAGATTAGGTGACAGAGTGTATGTGGGAGATAAGTCAGATGGTTATTGTCCATCTCAAGTGGGTGTAGGGGGACAAATCAGAGAATGGAGAAATACTCGAAAGAATTTGATAGGTACCATTAGAGGAAGAAATTGAATATTCTTATAGGGTTTTGTTTTTAGTAACTCATTGAAATAAATGTGTAAATCTTGGAGCTTTTAAAATAGAGGTTGTAGGCTTTTAAATCTTGCCTGCTTTCAAATAATGATTAAATATTTAAATGCCCTAGAGAAATATGTACTTTCCTTCAGTAGCAGCTAATTGAATTTTGGGCCACTCCCGACAGTCCTGGTTGATGTTCCTGACTCATAGGTCGGGGGTTTATTATTCTGGAAGTGCTCAGGAGATCATGGGCTAGGAATCAAACTCAGGCCTCCTTCATGCAAAGTATGTACTTAGCCCATTGGAATGTTTCTCTCACCCTACTAGCAGCTGTTTTAGAATTGGAGGAAGAGCTTTAGACTTCTGGATCAGATCCTCCTCTTTCCTATAATCTTCTGTTGAATAGTTGCAAGAAGATGTAGGAAGAAATATATTAAAAAATCTGTAATTAATGCTGAGGTCAGAGGAAAAGTATCATCTTAGGAGGAAGGAATGGCCATGCCCAAATAATATTTTCAGAAAACAGAGGATGGAAGATCTTTGGAAAATAATCATGAAAACATTTGAAAGAAAGCAAAAAAATTTTTTAAAATATGAAGTGAAGTATTTTAGAAGTGTTGTAGTACTACCATGTGTGATAGATTAGTAACTACATTTTTTAAATTGACTCACTGTGAGATACACAGTTACAAAGTTGTTGATGATTGGGTTTCAGAGGAAAAAGAGTGAGAGAGAAAGACAGAAGAAAAGTGCCTTCTGGGGATGGGGAGGTGGCAGGAGGGAAACTGGGGACATTGGTGGTGGGAGATGTATGCCGGTAAAGGGATGGTATTGTAACTGCATTTATTGATAGCATTTCTGAATCACCAAGTCATGTGTTTGGCCTGATAGCTGCTTTTGGAGGCTTCAGTTTGTTTTCATCTTGCCACTCAAAGCATTTGCTTATAGTCTCCAGGATATTTAGAGATGGAATAGAGAAGGAACATTCATGGTAATCAAATCTTCTTCCTTTATGTCACTTCCATTTAGGTAATAGGGAAAGTTATATTTTTCCAGTTGAAGAAAGGTATAAGTTGATTTCAAATTATTCTGTTTCAGAATATGGTTCAAGCCTGGAAGACGATGTAGTGGGGGACACTTCAGGTTACTACCAGAGGATGTTGGTGGTTCTCCTTCAGGTATCAGTTGGAAACTGTGTACAATTTAATTTTTTAAAAAGCATGTAGCCAGGACTGTAGAGATAGTACAGAAGGTAGGGCATTTGCCTTGCATGTGACCAACCCAACCCAGGTTTGATTTCCCAGGGCCTATATGATCCTCCCAGCACCACCAGGAGTGATCCTTGAGCACAGAGTCAGGAATAAGTCCTGAGCACCACTGGTGTGGCCCTAAAACAAAACAAAACAAAAATTCCCCAGAAAACTTTAAACAACAAAGAGTCCAAGTCCAATCTTGTCTGACTATATTCAAGTAAGGACTCTTAAAATTCTTATAATCATTTATTCTCTTTGATTGTGCTGCCTGTGTCTGTGTCTGAGTATTGGCCTAAACTCTTAGTAGCTGACTCATAATTTCTTTTTGAAGATCTCTGTCCTTTTGTTCCCCCCGATAGAATTAAAAATCCATGAAAAGCTTTATGTAAATAACCTTCAAATGTAATCATTTCTCCTTCTGAATGAAAATAATTAATTGAAATATTATCTCTTTTAGGCCAATAGAGACCCTGATACTGGAATTGATGAAGCTCTGGTTGAACAAGATGCTCAGGTAAGTAATACTTAATATGTTTGACTTTTTGGACCACATACTGCCATACTGGGGATTGCTCTTGGTGGTTTTTGGGGAACCAGATGATTGAAATGGGCTTTCCTCCTACATAGCATAGAACTGTCTTTTAGGCCCAGTACTTGATTCTTTGGGTTTTTTTTTTGGGGGGGGGGGGGAGGGCTATACCTATGTTTCTCAGGGATTAATCTTGGCATTCCTTGGGGGATCATATATATATATATATATATATATATATATATATGCTGGGGATGAAATTTGAAATTGGCCCTGTGTAAGGCAAGCACTTCAAAACCCTTGTACTTTCTGGTCCCTACACAATTGTTGTTGTTGTTGTTGTTGTTGTTGTTATTTTCAGCCACACTGGGTGGTGTTCAGGACTTATTCCTGGCTCTGTACTTAGGAGTACTCCTGTAGGGACTCAGGAGACCATATGTAGCGCCAGGGATCGAATCTGGGTTGACACATACAAGGCGAACACCCTACCTGCTGTAGCATACTCCCTCATATACAATTGCTCTGTCCCCCATTCACAATTCTTAATAATTAGTCATCTACCATCAAACAAGGAAGAGCCATGTTCATTCCCCCAGGTGACTGTTCTTTCTTAATAATAACTGAATATGTGATCTGGACCTTGCTACTGTAGAAGAGGAGAACAATATTGTTCTTTGGGGGTGGGTCAGCTTTCATTGGCTCAGAATGCCATCATTGCTTTGACTGGCTAGAGAGAGGGAGTGTTATACTGACAGTTTGCTTAATCAGGCACACTAAAACCGTTTATGGCTAGAAAGCAAACAGGTTTTAGTCACCTATGGGCTTCTTCAAGCCATTGGTTGTATCTGAGAGACATGCTTGAGAAATCCTTCCAGGGAAGAACTCTCACTCCCCAAAACCTTTCTGCATGAAACTTTTGGGGAGAGGGCTCCCAACTTTTCTGGGAAGGGGAATTAAAGACTTTCCTTGGGAAGCCCATCCAGGGAGGGGAGATAAAAGGTACTGAAGGCACTTTGTGATTCAACCTCATTGTTTTTCTGCCTGTTGGACTCTCTCCTAATGTTCTCAGATACCCTTGCTGCCTGAACCCAGCCCACAGGTGAATAAAACCTGTTGTTTTCCACCATAAACCTTGTTTTGGTATGCTTGATTAAGCAAACTTCTTAATCTTAACCAAAAGAAGGGAAAGAATGTTTACTGGTTGGCTGTCTGTAGCATTGGACTAGTGCCTCATTCAACGTATACAAAATGCAAGCCATTTATGTGATGCTGCTGTTTCTGTTTTTCGGCCACACCCAGTGGTGCTCAGAGCTTATTCCTGACTATGCTCAGGAATCACTCCTGGTGGACTTGGGGGACCATTTAGGGTGCTGAGGATTGAACCTGGGTCAGCCTCTTGCTAGGCAAGCACCTTCCTCACTGCCCTAAGGCTCCAAAAATGCTGCTGCTCGGAACCTTTAAACTCTTCCTTGTTTCCTTCCCTTCAGTCTCAGGGAAAACCCCAGGCTCCTTAAGTTGGTCCTCCAAGCTTCTTTTTTTTTTCTGCTTTCTTACACTTCCAGCCTCTCTCCCCTCCTCTCTCCCCCTACTTCAGCTGATTCCTCTCCAGAGTCAGTCCTCAGATTTGCTGCTTCCGTATATATTAGGTGCTCCGATGGGGGAGACTGAAGTATCTTTCAGACTTACCTTGTCATTGCTTCTCGACATGGAGCGCTCTCTCTCTCTCTCTCTCTCTCTCTCTCTCTCTCTCTCTCTAATAAATGGTTCTTATTTATTTATTTGCTTTTTGGGTCACGCCCAGCGATGCTCAGGGGTTACTCCTGACTCTGCACTTAGGAATCACTCCTGGCGGTGCTCAGGGGACCAGATGGGATGCTAGGATTTGAACCCAGGTTGGCCACGTGCAAGGCAAACGCCCTACCCGCTGTACTATTGCTCCAGCCCTAACATGGAGCTCTCTTAGTGTAGCCAGAGGCACTCAGTAGACCTGGGATTGCATTCCTGCAGACATGTAAAGGGCTTTCTAAGGGGAGGTATTCTAAGGTCCAGGGGGAAATGTTCCTTTTCTTATGATGAAGAAAGTACAGGCATTCAAGACACAAGCAAACCTTCACTGAATGTGTTCCTGATGGGCCTCTCTCACCCAAAGCCCTCTTTCTCTAAGCAGCAGTCTTGAGATGGGAGCACCCACCTCATGTGATAACTTCTTGTATGGAAAATGCTAGAGCCACTTATTTCCAGTGACATTGCTTTTTGGACATTAGTAATCTGGCTCTACAGGAAGCAGTGTGTGTCCCAGGAGAGGAATTCTGAGTGCTTTTTCAGGGTCAGATGGAACAAAGGTGGAACCACTCCAGCAAATTCCAATGACAGCTGGTGGGCGTGTGCGTGGGCAGGCAGTGGGCAGATTTCCAAGTGTGATGGGGCTGCAATGTGAGCATTGATGCTCCTGAGTGGGAAGGAGAGAATCTTGTTCTTATTGATTTCTCCGAGTATTCAGAGTGGAGCGGCACTTGTCTGACCTGACCTTGCAGCTACTGTCCCCTGCTTCCAAGTGGGACCTGGGAGTCTGCATTTCTCAAGCTTTGGGACCAGGCTGGTCTTCAGACCACTCTGAGAGCTGAGGATACTCTGTCCAGTATGGTGGTTACGATCACTCAGCACCCTACACAGAACTGTGCATATAAAAGCTGCCTTAGAAACTTCCTTTAAAATGACCCTTCATGGCACAGAATATAGCTCAATAGACTGAGCACATGCTTTGCAAGCAGGAGGCATATGTTTAATTCCCCAGTAACACATGTGTTCCTCCAGGAATGCCCCCAAACAGCAAGCCAGGAATAGCCTCTGATCACTGCCAGCTGTGACCCCAAAACAAACCAAATCAAACCAAATATACTTTGAATAGAATCCATACTCTTACTTAGTCCCAGGGCCTATTTGTCTTCGTTTCTTTAAAATGTCTCACTATAGGGATTGGAGCCATAGTACAGTGGGTAGCCTTGTGTGTGGCAGACCCTATTTTGATCCCTGGCATCCCATATGATCCCGTGAACCCTCCAGGAGTGATCCCTGAATGCAGAGCCAGAAGTAAGCCCTGAGTACTGCTGGCTGTGTCCCTAAAACAAAAAACAAAAGTATTACTATTATTATTCCACTAAATGTGTTGAAAGCATTCTGTTATATCTTAGAACAAAGGCGAGGGATGTAGTCCAGCAGTGTAGCTCTTGATTGAATGTGTTGGGCCCTGGGTTCAGTGCCTGGTGCCCCATCCCCCACGGCCACCCCCCTACCCCCTTGTTCCTTAGTGCCAGATGGGAACAGCTCCCAAGCCAGTTGTGGCCCCAAATCAAATCTAAGCAGAACAAAAAAAGAAACACACCCTGTTGGCTCTCAAAGCCAGAGCAGCTGGACTGTTACTTTAGTAGTAGTCTTTTTTGTTTGTTTGTTTTTGGGGGCCACACCTGGCCATGCTTAGGGCTTACTCCTAGCTCTGTGCTCAGGGATTACTCCTAAGTGCTGGGTGGGTAAGATGCAAGAAAAACACCCTATCTCTTGTACTGTTGTGCCCCCCCCCACCAGTCCAGCACACCCTCCACCAGTGGGAATCTTACCTTTCCTTTTTTTCTTTTTAGCTGAGATTAATCTGAGGTGACTCAAGGGCCCTTTCATAAACTTTTGAATTTTTTTTTCTCTACTGATACTTGGCTTTAAGAGGGTTTCTATTCTTTCATAGTTTTAATAAGCCGCAGTGATTCTTCCACCTGGGAGTTGAACATTTTGTTGATAATTCACTTTTTTGTTTGTTTATTTTGGTTTGGAGGCCACACCCAGCTGTGCTCAGGACTTGCCCCTGGCTCTGTACTCAGGGGTCACTCCTGGTAGACTGTATGGTGTGCCAGTGATCAAACCCAGGTCTGGTTTGTGCAAGGCAAGTGCCCTACTGCTTTACTAGTACAGCATGTTTTTAATTTTGTTTTGTTTTTTGCTCACTTTTGGTGCTACTCAGGGGACCATGTAGTGCCAGGAATTTAAACCATGTGCTTCAGTCCTTTGGCCATCTCCTTGATCCTTTTACCTCTTTGCCAGGGGTGGGGAGGGTGGTGATTTTGTTTGGAGGGTTTGTTTTGGCTATGCCCCGAGATGTTCAGGGGTTACTCCTGTCTCTGTAGTCAGAAATCACTCATGGCAGTACTCAGAGACATGGAATGCTGGAGTCTTACCTTAAGTGGTTGGCTGAATGTTAGGCAAGTGCCTTACCCACTGGACTATTTCTCCAGCCACAACCCTTTACATTTTTAATGTGTTAAACTGATTTTACTTCTTCCTATACCCAATCTTTGTTACATACCTTCTCTGGAGAGAAACTCTTAGAGGATGGGGAGAAAATTAACTCTTAAAGGCAGGTTGTTCACTTAAAGAGTCAGAGTTAAAGTTTTTCTGCTTAAAATTGTTCACAAAGTGTCACTCCCGACCCCCACCCCCCTCCACCACACCAGTTGCATTCAAAGCTACTTCTGCCTTTCCCCTCTCCTGTTCCATTGGCCCATAGGGAAGTTTCACCTACCCAGGAGAGACTGCTCATAAAGCTTCCTCTGCCAGAGACTGGACAACCCTCCCCCCTCCTCCTCTTCCTCCCCTTCTTCCTCCTTCCCCTCCTCCTCCTCTTCCCCACCTCCCCCAGCCCCCCAAACACACACACACACTGGTGATACTCAGGGGCTCCTCCTGGCTCACTGCTTAGAGATCATTCTTGACTGTGCTTAGAGGCTCATGTGTTTCCAGGAATCAAACATGTGGTTCCTATATACAAAGTATGTGCTCCAACCCTTTGAACCATCTCCCATGCCTACACAAATTCTTTGTAGTTAACTTTAGTTAAGTCCTGTTTGTAAGTGAGAAAATGTGGATTTTACTACCTATCCTGTGTTAGTGACCAGGCTCAGAGCAAGTATAACAGAAATTCAGCCTGTAGATGGGATATATCCACAATTAGGGTTATAATCAGAACTTTCTGCTACCATACCACTGTTCCTTGGAGATCACAAGTAATTATAGCTGTACAGGAAGCCTCTAGCCGTGAACTGTTGTGTGACTCTGTTGCTTTGATTCATTCTTCCTCTAGGGCACACTGTTTAGGGGTAAGCTCCAAAGTAGCTACAGACTCAATAAGCAGAGTTTCAGAGTAGGGAGTATTTACAAGTGTAGTTAAGAAAGTGGAAATGAGATCTGGCTCTTGCTCTGGTGGTGAGATGCTGGCAACTGAGTCTTTCCAAGTACGCCCAGTTGCTACTGGGTCAGATCTCTGTAACTTTAGGGGAGAGGGCCAGACCAAGTCCCTCCCCTGTCAAACGCTCAGCATTCCACCTACCCACATCTGGCTCCCACCACTGCCAGAGAAACAGCCCATCTTCAGGACTGATTTTGGAGAGACACCAGAGAAATGCTACAGAGACACCTGCAGTCCAAGTTCCAAAGCTCCGAAATTGCGTGGCTATGTATCACCTCCATATTTCACAGAGCTGACAGCCACTTAAAAGCATAGAAAATTAGATGGGAAAATTGAGTAGATGCCACTAAGCTCAGTGAATGAAAACAGTACCACAGAAGGCCCAGATCACATCTAACAGCCCAGTAAATCCTCAGAGCATGACTTTAACAACACCATTATGAGATATATGTTACATCTGTAGTACTGTAGCACTGTCCTCCCGTTGTTCATCAATTTGCTCGAGCGGGCCCAGTAACGTCTCCATTGTGAGACTTGTTTTTACTGTGTTTGGCATATCGAATATGCTTGCCGTGCAGGCTAGATACTCTCAGTAGCTTGCCAGGCTCTTTGAGAGGGGTGGAGGAATTGAACCCGGCTCGGGTGGGCCGGCCTTGCACAAGGCAAATGCCCTACCGCTGTGCTATTGCTCCAGCCATCGCTCCATATGTTACATCAAGCAATATAAAAGAAACTATTTTGACTGCTAAGGGAGAAGGCTTGAGGGTAGGTGGAAAACTGGGGACATTGGTAGAGGGAAGGGGACTTTGGTGTTTGGACTGGTATTGGAATATTGAACTGTATTGTGAACAACTTCATGAATCTCAGTGTTTAAGAAAAAATGTGGAAATGAGGGGTTGGAGTGACAATATAGTGGATAGAGTGCTTGACTTGCATGAGGCCAATATGGGTTTGATCTCCATCTTCCCATATGGTTCCCTGAGCACTACCAGAAGTGATCCCTGAGTTTAGAGCTAGGAGTAACCTCTGAGCATTGCCTAGTGTGGCCCCAAAACAAACGAAAATCAGGAAAAAAATAAAGTGGTAAAACAGATTATTAATTAATGTTAAATTTTCACAGGCTCTGTTTCAGGCCGGAGAGCTGAAATGGGGAACCGATGAGGAAAAGTTTATCACAATCTTTGGAACAAGAAGTGTTTCTCACCTGAGAAGGGGTGAGTGGTAAAATATGTATACTACAAATAGATACTTTCCTTGATGTTCAGCAGAGAAATTTCAGTTCTTTCTGCTGCTCTTGTAGTTTGTAAAATCAGAAATACTGAGCATGAAGAGATGTTACACTGTTATGCTATTCCCAGCTGTATCTCCCTGCAAGGATCTCCTTTGACAGTAGTAACCAAGATCTCTCTTCTCCACCTCTTTCTCAGCTCTTGTACTGTGCTTATTAGTTCAGTGGTAAGTGACAGAAATCCTACAAATAGTGGCTTTTTAGCTTGTTTTGTTTTGGGGCCACAGCTGATGATCACCAGTGCTTACTCCTGTCTCTGCACTCAGGACTTACTGGAGTTGCTCAGGGGACCATATGGAATACCAGGGATTGAACTGCATTCAAGACAGGTGCCCTATCCGCTGTACTATTGCTCCAGCCCCCAGATAGTGGGTTTTAAAAGTGTACTTTCTGGACTGGAGAGAGTTCAGGAGGCACAGCACTTGACACCTCCCTTGTATGCATGTACTTTGGCTGGCTGAACCTGGCCCAATTCCCAGCACCACTATATGGTCCTCTAACAATGCAAGAAGTCATTGCTGAGCACTGCCAGGTGTGGCCCCCAAACCCAAATGAATAAATACATAAATAACAATTGGACTTTCTGTAAGGAGGACCCCTTGACTAATTCATCAGTATCCAAGCTTTGTCTTTCTACTCCTCTACTCTTTGTTTGTTTGTTTCTTGCTCCTGCTCAGTACTTCATTGATATGCTGTTTTTATCATTCATCAGCACTTTTCAAAGCTCAAAGAAAAGAAAGGGGTAAAAGCAGTTATAGCTGTATGAGTTTTTAAAGGGAAAGAAATATTTTTTAGTATCCTTTCCAGCAAGATGACCTTCCAGAAAGGTCTCACTGATGTAGCTAATAAGGAGACTAGGAAGTCAGTGAACAAAGAGCAGTTTAACCCATTGTTGGGGGCACTCAGATTGATGCATTGATGCTTTGAAAAGGTCAGGGTTCTGCCAGATGGGAGAAGGGAAGTTTGCATTTTTGCCGGATAATATATAGTTCAGTTATCTTTTTTCTGGAAAGCATGAAACTTCCATGATAAGAAATGACTTTCCTGTTTTCTAGTGTTTGACAAATACATGACCATATCAGGATTTCAGATTGAGGAAACCATTGACCGAGAGACCTCTGGTAATTTGGAGCAACTTCTCCTTGCTGTTGGTAGGTAATCTTAGAATGTTTATAATGTTTACATTATTACCTAAAAGTGTATCTGAAAAAGTTTTTCATGAAAATTGGAGGTTGACCTGATTTTTTTTTTGTGGTTGTTGTGCCCAGCTACTCATGAGTCTGTATTAGGGAGCTGCTTCTGGTGGTTCTTAGCAGACAATGTGGTGCCAGGGATTGAACCTGGGTCCACCTCTTGCTTTTTTTGCGTGCAGTGAGCTCCTTGAGATAACTCTTAAAATCTGGTTTGATGTTAGAAACATGTAGTTTCCAACCCATCTAATCCTATGGAAATGGTAAGTGATAAGCTTATCTAATTCTATGAAAATAGTAAGCAGTTGTTTAAAAATAATTTTTGAGATGCTGGCTCAGTGGTAGAAAGTGTTCCTTAAATGTTTGAGACCGTTAAATGTTTGAGATCCCTGGAACCACATGTGCACACACACACACACACACACACACAAAGTTATCTTTGAAGTTGCATTAAATTTATTACTGTTTGGGGGCCAGGGATATGCTTCAAAGGGATGGAGCACATACCTAATGTGCATGGCTCACTATCCTTGATACCCTGTTCCCTTCCTACCCTCTGCTCCTGTGGCCCCCAAATGCCTTCAAATGAATGCCTCCTAGTCTCTCTGCATCACAGCTCTGGGCTTGGAATTAGTGATCCATCAGGCATGTATAATAGGCACAATCTTTTGGGGAGTAATCCCTGTGGTCACTCTCAGCCTAGTACTGCTGAGTGTGGCCTTTGTACAAAACTAGTCCTTCATTTCTTTTTCATTTCTTTCTTTCTTTTTTTGGGTCACACTCAGTGATGCTCAGGGGTTACTCCTGGCCCTACACTCAAGAATTACTCCTGGTGGTCCTCGGGGGACCATATGGGATGCTGGGAATAAAACTTGGGTTGGCCGCGTGCAAAGCAAACGCCCTACCCGCTGTGCTATCGCTCCAGCCCCCAAAAACTAGTCCTTTATTATGAGTAAACATTTGAGAGGCTTATAAATGTTATTTCTGATGCCTGTATAATTTTCGTATTCTTTTAAGTACTGTCTTCATAAAGTTTTAAACAGACTGAAAAATTTCACCAGAAAAAATATTTGACATAATAATGGAAGATATGGTGGTGGTAGTTTTCAGATCAAATATTATTTTAATTAGATATTCAAAATAGAATGAAAACATTAGAGAACTGAGTTTGTCTGTTCTATTTTAGTAATATATTCTCTCCAAATACAAGGACAATCTAGTTTTTTCTTTCCCAGTGATCTTAATTTTCTTACAGGTTAAAGTGAACTTCCTTTGCTCTTTGTTCCTGTTCTTTGTGCTATGCTTAAGCTATAGTGGTATCCATCTTTTGGAAAATAATCTAAGTTGAGTTCAAATCAATTTTCATTAATGGTAGACTTTCATTTGTACCTGCAGTTAATGACCATTAATGGAAAATGGCCATTAATAGAAAACGGTTCTTTGTTTTCTACTAGACTTAACATAATCCAAAATTGATACTTTTTATGTTAGTGTTTTCATTAAGCATTGGGGAAGATAGTAAAAATGCTGTCCTATGTAACCTGTAGATATAAAAGAACATGTCTAATAATTTAATGGGAGAGACCTAGAGTAAGATTGAAAATGGTTGTTAAAGTTTACATAGAGAAGTAATCTGATGTTGATTTTTTCAATACTTTGAAAGGAAAAATTGCAAAATAACCATTGTATTTTTTATTTTCCTAGTGAAATCGATTCGAAGCATACCTGCCTATCTGGCAGAAACACTTTACTATGCAATGAAAGTAAGTGAATACTTTGACTTGTCTATTAAACTAATTTCTCTCTCTGTTATTGTCCTTTTACAATGATTGTTTTAAAGATAGACTTTGGGTTTTGTTTTTCCCTCCTTAAAACTTGTTTAGTTCTTTAGTATTGATTTGCTTTATTGATTCACCCCTGTTCAGGGTATTTTGATGCAGTACCTGATATTATTTTTAAACAATGTACCTCTCTTTCCATTTAATTTATTTTTCTTTCTTAAAGGGAGCTGGAACAGATGATCATACCCTCATCAGAGTTGTGGTGTCCAGGAGTGAGATTGATCTGTTTAACATAAGGAAGGAATTTAGGAAGAATTTTGCCACTTCTCTTTATTCCATGATTAAGGTAGTAGAACTTTTATGTAAGTGATGTTTAGAAATCCATAACAGAAAAATATTATAGCATTCATGTCATGGCTGAGAGAACTTGACTCTAATGATAAGTCTAAATTTCAGGGGTTTGACAGATGTGACTAGCAAAAAACAGCTCAGGTTTATTATGCTGGTGGGCCAAGCAGAGCTCCTGCTTGAAAACTGGACCCTGGACAAGGTGGGGATTCAGTTTTATATGATATCTGATGGTGGAAGTACCGTCTGAAAGCAGATGGGAACCAAATACAGAAGCAGAAATTTCCAGGCATGTCATTTACAAGGCAAAGCAAGGTCGAGACTATTTCAAGGGCATGAGCACATTTGGTGTACATTCTGCAGTCACAAAGCAAGAATATAACCATATCAAGGACATCCCAAATGCATTCTGTGTCCATATATGTCTCTCGCAGTTCTTGCACCTCTGGTGTTAACCTGTTTGAAATGAGGGCTGGGGTCTAGGTTCCTCATCATGCTAACAATAAAATTTGGCCCAAGGCTTTCTGATTCCCTATCCATCCCTTCCCCCACCCACTCCCATAGACGGGAATATGGGCAGAGTGCTTAAGGAGGACATTGTTGTTTCAGGGTGATACATCTGGGGACTATAAGAAAGCCCTCTTGCTGCTCTGTGGAGGAGAAGATGACTGAGCTGAGCCACCACCCGAGAGAGACCCTGCACTGTGCCTGCCACCGCCCTACCCCAGCACACTCACCGCACTGCTCCTGTAGAGTCTGCACAATGCCTTATTCATACTAGCATGTGAATGACCGATGTAGGAGAACAGAGAGGTGCTTCTTGCTCTGTGATTGTTAACTGAAGTACAATGAAATGAAGTCTAAGCCTGGCTCATTTATATATTACTAAGTCTAAAGCCTAGATTATATATATTTGCCTTAAGAGGTTAGACTGCTTTTAGCCTTTAATGAAAACTTCATTTATATCTAATTAGCTGCCATATTGTCTTATTCGGAACCTTAACTTTGAAATTGTGAACTGGAAGGATTGATCAATTTCCTCCTACACTCATAGAAAACTGAGTGTAATTGTGTTCAAAAGATGAATGGAAAATAAATGTTTCCTTCCCTGTGAATTATGTGCTTGTGTCTGTTTAGAAAACCTGTGTATGTATAAAACAACATTGCCATTTTTAAGCTAGTGGACTAAACCTGTCTCCAGTTCCCTGGCACTGTGTGTTGTCCCTGGCCCCTTACCCCATCTGGAAATCCAGGGTTTGCTGCTGCTCTCCATCCCTCAGGTCCTCTGGGTAGTTCCTACTGCTCAGGTCCCTTTCTTAGCTCATTCTCACCCAGACAGCAGCTCTTCACACATGGGACAGTTCAGGGGATGCAGAAGTGCTTGCATCCCTCCAGGTCTTCATGGTCACAATCCCACAGTGTCTCCAACATCCAAGAGGGCCTACACTTTAACTCCTGGAGGTCAAGGGAAGCTGCTCAGAGATAGGATATAATGGATAAATCTGTCTCTCTAGTACTAGAATTTCAGAGGGAATAAGAGAGTAGGGGAACGAGGCCTAAACTTCCTTATTAGGGGAGGAGCAGTAATGAAAACCAAGGGTGAAAAAGTCACCTCTGTCGGCTTGCTTTTGAGAGCTCTTTTCATCATGTTTCCACTGGCCCTTCAGTAGCTACCATGGCCACCTCGATGAAGTCCAAATTTGTTGTTTTGCTACTTCAGGTTCTCTGTATTTGCCCATTCTCTCTCCCCACATGGACTCCTGTCTCCAGTTTGAGTTGTTCATGATCTCCCATCCACACTTCTGCCTTCCTGTTTTGCTTTTACGATCCTGTTAGCTGAATGCTTCTCTCATCTCTTTCCCTAATGGAAAGTCCTTTAGTTTTCAACAGCCAGAAAACCCACAGCTCTGTATCTAAAACTTTTCTAATCACTTGATCCACAAGTTATGTTTTATAGTTTTTGTTGTTTTGTGCCACACCAAGCACAGCTCAGGGGCTTACCCTGGTTCACTGCTTGATCACTCATGGTGGTACTCCCAGGAACTTGGGGTTCTGGGGATTGATCCATGCAAACTCTGTGCTCATCTCCTGCTCTATCTTTTGTGTTTTTATATTTTATCTTACTCTCTTGACAGCAGATGGAAATATTTTACTTTGTGCCTTTTAATTGTGATCTATATCTTTTCTTTCAGTCTCCCCCCATATCCCTGCATTCACAGTACAGGGCTAGGCTGAGGTGTATATAGGGTGGGTTTCCTGTGTCTCCTTTTTATTTATGTTGGGCCACACCTAGAGGTACTCAGGATTTACTTCTGACTCAGTACTCAGGGATCACTCTCCTGGTGGGCTCAGGGGACTGCATGTGATGCTGGGATTGATCCCAGGTCAGCCGCATGCAAGACAAATGTCCTACTAGTTACACTATTTCTTTCCTGTGCCTTTTCTCTCTGTGCAGTCGATGTAAAGAACACAGCCTGTGGTAAGCACTAAGAGGCCCAGTGTAAGTCTTCTAAGAGCATTTTCTAAGACTTTTCTAAGAATATTCTAAGAGACATATTCTTCCTTGTATACTTGGCTCTAAGAATTTTTATTATTCTCTCTCTCTCTCTCTCTCTCTCATGCACACAAGCACACATACACATACACACACACAACACAGTTCAAGCCAGACATATGAAGTGCTCTACTGCTGAGTTATGTACCTGACTCCTTATTTAATAATGTCTATTTTTTTTATTTTCACTGTCATACCATCATGCCTCATGTTCCCCCATTCCATACTGCTATGGATTCCTGACATAGAATACTTTCCAATTTAAGCAGTAAGAATCATAAGCATATGGGACTGGTCAAAGTGATAGTACAGTGGGTAGGGCATTTGCTTGCATGTGGTATACTCAGACTTGATCCCCAACACCCTATATGCCCCACCCTGATCCCACCAGGAGTGATCTCTGAGTGCAGAGCCAGGAATAAGCTCTGAGTACCACCAAATGTGGCCCCACAAAATACATTATATTCTTAGTAGGCGGGGGTCACACCCACCACCTGGCCCCCTAGCGCCGTGTAATCCTATCAACGGCCAAGACTCAGAGACTATAAAAACCAGCTCCCGGGAAGAGAACAGTGCAGTCTCCTGCCCCCGCACCTGGCTGTCCTTGCCGGGACTCCTTGGAGGGGAGCGGGTTGAGCTTTCCTCCCCACCCCCACCAGGGCTCCAGCAGCCGAAGACCTCCAGGACCAGCCACCACCATGCTGAGACCACTCTCTGCACACATGAAGGTACTGGCAGAGGGACAAAGCCACGCGGGTTCCGGGGCCGAGATCTCCAAGCCTACTCGGATTGGGGCCGAGCATCCTCCACCCAGATCCTCCAAATTCCAATAGGCGGGGGTCACACCCACCACCTGGCCCCCTGGCGCTGTGTAATCCCATCAACGGCCAAGACTCAGAGACTGTAAAAACCAGCTCCCGGAACCACGTGGCTGCATTCGCGGCCGCGTGACATCTTTTTATGACATCTTATTCCTACTTTGGACAAACTGGCAGGCTACCGAATGTAGCCTGCCCACACGGCAGAGTCTGGCAAACTCCCTGTGGCGTACCCAATATGCCAAATACCAGTAACAATGATGGGTCTCATTCTCCTGAAGAGCCTTGAATATAATCTCAGGGCTAGGATGAAGGAGTCGTTACTGGGGCCTGCTCGAGGCAATCGACGAATAACAGGATGATTTGTGATTTGTGATTGTGATTCTTAGTTTATTTAATTTCATGCAGAAAATCTTGGCAGTCCTTTCTATGAGCATCACTCCTTTGTCCTTTATTCTATGACACTCTGTACCCTAGAGCATCTGTTTAAAACCCTCTCCTCAAGCTTGTATTTATGGTTTCCAAATTAATTTTAGGATACCCATCACATTAATTATAGATATGCTATATTACATATAGTACAATTATGTATATATTTATTAGAGAATGCTAAATATCTGTGATAAGTGATAATGCTTTCTCTGAAACTATTAACATACCCAATAAAATGGTTGAATTTAGATATAAATACATAGGAAAAACTATATATTATGTAATGCCTTAGCGTTTCTAACAACTTTCATCGTTGTCTTCCCTTCTTACCAACTGAGATTTTCCCTCAAATTTCAGTTCTCATAATTCTTGTGTCAAAGGCATAACAGAAGTTAGCACAAAACAATACTCATAGTACAGTTAGCACAAAAAATACTCATAATAATTTCATCTTAAACAAACTGATGCTATTTTTTTCGTAATATATTTTACAGTTTCCCCATTTTCAATGAAAAGAAGAGACAGAATTCCAGGTTATTAGTATTTCATAAGTGGTGCAGTTCTAGTTATCATCAGGGACACATCTATTTACAAATCAACAAGAAGAAGCTGCCAGAGAGCCTGAGGCAGAGGTACTGTGCAGAGATGAGCTATCATCGTTTACAGGCAACACATGCTTTCCCTGTGATTTGAACACACCTTTCCTTATCACCTAGGAACATCTTCGTATTCAACTATGTTCAATCTTCTCCTAGTTTTACAGTGTCTTATTTTGCTAATTATGATTTGGGTTTGTCATTTATGCAGCACTATATTTAGTCCATTAGCTGTACTGCTTCATACGTCTTAAATATTTGGGGGCGTAATTTCATTTACATCCATGTAAAAATAAGGGGTAATCCACTGTCACCATCATTAAGGAGGATTTCATATTCCTTAACCAGTTTCTGCTGATAACTTGTCTACTGTTGATAACTTGTCTACCTCTGGGCTGCCATGTGCAATGCTTGGGAATTATTGCAGAGTCACAGACCTTGCCCTCTCTGCCCTGACCCCAGCTTTAAAATCAAGGTATTATGAAGCCACACTAAGAATGCAGGGGGATGGGGTTTTTCTCTCCTAGGCAGCCAACTCTACTTCAACCCTCTATACTACATAGGATAGGGTTCTTTGAGCAGCACTGGGTCACAATGAAACCTAGACACAGAAGTAGCTAGTGCTCACCTGTGGGTGTGGCCCACAAATGACACACACAGCCCTGAAGTTGCCAATGTCAACCTTGGAGAAAACAGGACCAAAGACCTGATAAGACCCTCATCTGGTGCCTGCAACAGACCCAGAGAAGCTCCAGCAGAAACAAAAAGCCAGAAAAGGAATTTCAAAGAAGACCATCACCACTCCCAACCTTTTGGTAACCTCCTTATCAACGGACTTTGACCTAGGCAGAAACCCCTTGTAGGGGTAGATTGGAGAAACCCTATAAAAGCCACCTTGAACAAAGGAAGCAGGCCCATGTGCTGCCCAAGTCCATGTGCTACTTGTGCCCACGTAGCCAAGCATATGTAGCGTCCGCATCTCCTCTCTTGAGATGTGTACTTTCATGCTTTCGTGTCTAATGCTGGGATATGTGTAGGGGCTTCTCTGCCCTTGGAGAAGCCTGAGTTCTCTCTTGAGCGAGTTACTCTCCACTCTCTCCCACTTTCTCTTCCTCCTCTCCCTCAAAAACATTCAAATAAAATCTGTTTACTTCACTGTTTGTCTACTCCTGAAATTCTGTTCTTCAAGGCGAGACAAGAACTTTTTTTCTGCCCTGTGGTGCAGCACTGCACTATTTCATTTTATTTCTCATGTTGTTGAGAGAGTCCTATTATAGACTTGGGAAGACTTATGTATCACATTTTCTCCACATGCCCATTGTTCTGCCTTACCTTTCTTTTGAACATTGCTGCTTGGAATAGCCGCATGCAGGTCTTTGATTACCCCATTTAACTCTGCCATAGTTGCAAGGCCATGGAGATCTTGAGACTCATAATGATCTTCGGGAGGTCACTTGAAATAATTTCAGGCATATGGTCACTGTAGATTTCTTCAAGAAATCTTGACATATTTGCTTTAAATTTTGGTTGCTGCAACCATTTTGTTGGCTTCAGATCTTATTTTATGTGTTTCTGAAGAGTCCCAATAGTGCTTGGCAAAGCCAGAAGTATCCCATGGCTCTTTCTGGGTGTTGTTTGGGCACTACTGGGTGTTGCTCAGTCAAGCCAATAAAAACCAGGGATGGTAGCTTGGTTTCACTGGTATATTT